AGCAAGGCATCAAAACACAAAAATGAACCCCTCGTATGAAAGTAACAGTCCTGGAGGTACAGGACTGGCAAGGCAACCGCTTCTTCAGGTGGACAGTTGGATGCCATTATAGAAAGTGGGACAGCCTTTCCATCACTTCTGTAAAACTAACGGGGACTCAAACAGGGACACCTTGTCACACCAACCCTGAAACACGAAGGACTGTTACTCAGCTATGCCATGGCCAGGACAATGCAGTATGTACATATTCAATGGACAGAATGAATTATGTGAAATACTGGAAATTACTATAAAAGAGAATGAAGATATAGGCCAGAACTCCACAGACTGAATAGCCTGTTGCATGAAAGTGTCACTAATTCACAGGTGCATACAGAAACACAGGTCAACTTACTGTCTTGCTTAAACTGAAAAGATAAAAGATGGTACCAAAAATGCACATGCTCCTCAGCTGTAAGAGAGCTTAATTACATCAAAGATTCTGGAAACAATGGGAATAGGTAATGAATACTATGCATTCCTTGATGTGAACAACTGAACTATAAATCTTGGAAAAGGAATTTGTTGATCGTCTCCTCTAACTCCCACGAAAATGACAGATGGAAGCCCAGCCAGAAGAACGAATGTCATCCATGGAATTTCACCAATGGAAGCCCGCTGGGTGCTGTTCCCTGCACAGGCTTGGGGAACAGTTGGGTCCAGTGGGTGCTGCCTGTGAGCTGGGGAAGCACCCATGCACCTAGTACCCTGCCCAGGCAGCCCTGGGGGGCACTGCCACCACAGAGGGAATGACTGCCCCCCTCCCCTCCACCTCCAGTCAGGGACTGTGCAGCCCAGTGGCAGCTTGCGCAGGCAGGCTCTGATGGAAAAAAAAGGGGGGGAAACTGTGAGGGGCTGGATTCTTCCTTCCCCCTCTTCCCCTGCCCCCATGCAGCCTGCCCACTCCTCTTGCAGCCAGGGAGCAAGCTGCCAACAGGCCCTGAGCTGCAGGGGGCCCCAGTCCTTCCCTCTGGGGCTGCACAGGCAGGCTGCTAGTGGGCAGGTGCTTCCCCAGCTCACAGGCAGGACCTGGCCTGATCCCACTGTTCCCCCAGGCCAAGCTGGGGCATCACCTGCCCACTAGCAGCCCACCTGGGTGGCCCCACCACCATGGAAAGAAGGACCTGGGCCCCCCACAGCTCAGCTCACCCGCAGCAGAAGACATGGGCAGTCTCCACTAAAAAAAAAGGATAAGACCCCTTATCATAATAGTGATGGAAGCCCCTAAATTGAAACAGTGGCTTTTTAATTATCACAATTAAAAACCCACTATTTCAGTTTAGGAGGACTAATCCCCCATCACGTGTACAAGCACCCATGGAGTTTTACATGTCGTAACAGAGGGGAGAACAAGAGGAGAACCTTGCAAGTGGCTCACCGGAGAAACTGGATGTGACACCTCAAGAACACAAGTTTCTCAGGTTAGAGTCTAGAGTGATCTCTGTATGAACTAGTGTCTCATGACCAGTTGTCTGTCTTACAAAGATACTAATCGCAAAGATACTAATTTCCCTGACAATATACAATGGATACAAAGAGACTATGAAAAACTTTCTACAGCATTCATCCTACATAAAAAGAAGAAATGGAACAAATTATTCCAAGAACAAGCTCCCCAGCCACAAAACAACCAGCAGAGGAACAACACCAACACCTTACAGCATTCCAACCTCAGACTTGATGAAACTGAAAGCAGCAACCAACACACAAATATTATCAATCTCTCCACACACACGCTTACCAAAACTGAAAAATCTGTCCTTTCTAAAGGCCTAAATTTCTGTCCAGAAAAATACCCTAATAAAATACTTGAATGTGAAGAACTGGAAGAATTCTTCCGACGCCTGCGCCTCAAAGAATATTTCCACGACCAAACTGAACCCACTCCCAACAACAACTCATCCTCTGACAACATTCAGGAAAAGATCAATGCCAAAAAGCCCCAAAAAACATCAGATTAGACACCTCACAGTGGACGAAACCCTAACCTTGACCACTACATGGACTGCTTCACGGAAAAAATGAATAATGAAATACTCAGCAACACACGCCACCACAACAACCTCTCCCTACCAGAGAAAAAGGCCACAGAATCTCTAAGTTGTAACTACCAAATAGTAATAAAACCAGCAGATAAAGGAGGAGCCATAGTCATCCTAAACCGTGAAAATTACATAAAGGAAGCCAACAGACAGCTTTCTGACACCACCTACTACAAAGAAGTACAAGAAGATCCTACTCCCCTTTTCACCAAAAAACTCAACAATACCATCAAATCATTTCCATCAAGACTACAAGAAAAACTACAGACCTTGATCCCCCCACTACCTAACCCGGGGACTTTTTACATGCTCCCTAAAATCCACAAACAAGGGAACCCTGGCAGACCTATCATATCCAACCATGGGACCCTAACTGAGGAAATATCAGGTTTTGTTGAATCCATCCTAAAACCGCTTGTCACCCACAGAGCAAGTTTTGTACAAGACACTACAGACTTTCTACGGAAACTTAA